AATATCCAATGGATAGCCCTTCAAAAAACCAAGCATCAGCATCAGATGATCGCTTTCTTGGCGAATCAATGTTACGTCGAATAACGAATTTTGGCATAGAGCGAAATCCAAATCAAACAAAACATTGGATGCCAGACAGTGCTGGTAAAAAAAAGAAACAAATTCCATTCAATCTATATACTCTTAATTTTAATCTTTTATTTTTTCTTAGGCAAAGAATGTTATGATTGTCAAGAAAAATTTACACCATTTCGTCGACGTCATCATTGTATATATATAAAATTCCATAAATTTTTCAAAAAAATGTTTCTTTCTTATTTCTTTCTTTTTTTTTCTTACTTTTATTTAGGTCGTATATGTGGTCTTCTATTTTGTAGTCGATGTTGTTCATATGAACCTCAAGCTAAATTAGCTGGCTATAGTGAATCAAATATTCGTGTATGTTCATATTGTTCATCAACATTACTTAAATTACCAAAGTCCAGTACAATGTCAACAACAACACCATCAGCAGCAGCAACAGCAGCATCGAATCAACAATATCTTTTATCATTATCTCAAATTGATCAAGAGGAAGAAGAACAATTAGAAACATATTCTCAAGATTTAAATACATCTGATAGTACATTTAATGCTGATCATTTTTCTTTATCAAAATCTTCAAGTGATCCATTATTATTACATGTTGATAATGAACAAACATCGAGTTCTACCGAACAAAATTTAACAAATTCTGAATTAAATCAAAAAACTCCTCAACAACAATCTCAACAACGTACAAATACAAATTTTTATTTAAAATCATTATTTAATGAAATATTTCGTACATCACAAGGTTTACAAATGCAAAAACAACGTCATCGTTTTCGAATAATTGAATGTGTATCTGGAAAAGATATTGTTGATTGGTTAATTAAAAATCAACGTGCTTCAGTAGTATCTGAAGCTAAATTATTATGTCAATGTTTTCTTAATGAATTATATTTAGAACCTGTAGTTTTACCACAAACATCATTTATTGAATTTAAACCTGATCAAACTTTTTATAAATTAGGAAAAGTAAATATTTGTTTATTTTTTTATGTTAATAAAAGGTGATTGAAAAGTTTTTAAGACAAGATGTTTGCTCATTTTTTGTAATAAAGAGCTATTTTTAGATACTCAATATCTTGACCAAGGAACATTTTTCTCGGCTGAAACTTTCAGAATATTCTAAGAATCATTAGACCTATCTATAGGTAAAATTTTAAATCAAAACCCCACTAAACCGACAAACGCTTACGGGAACGAAGGCTTTTACATTTTTGCTAGTCTGACTCAGATCTGCATGTGAATCCAATATGAGCTCAAATAGTGGGTGTCATTCTAGCTAGGTCTCTTGTTAGAAATACTGTGTTTATTGTTGTTAGAGACTAATGAGGGACCTTGTGAAAGATCTGAAAAATTATTTTTAATGGTGAACTAACAAGCTTTTTGTTCATCCTATGAGTCTCTTTTCGAACATGCTTGTCTACAAGATTTGATTTTGAACTAAGCTGTAGCTCTTACTTAAGTAAGAGTACAAGCTTTGTTTTTCAAGAATTCTTTTTAACGTAATATGGTTGTCGATTTTTCAAAAATGAGTATTTATGAAAGACAAAAATTGAAGTGCCTTGTCGAAAGACAACAAAAAAAAAACAGTGCATGTTGTAGGATAGCTTCTGATCTACATGCTGCTTTATAAATAAAGATCTTAACTTTTAGTTTCGAATCACAAAAGTGAAAATACAAAAATTTTTCGTCCGAACTAATTTTTTGAACTTTTCAAAGATTATTTCAATACTCTCGAACAAATTTTCTTAGTCTATATTCTCAAAGAGTAGAAACTCATAGCTTTTATCTCGTCGGCATATACTTTCTAACAGATCAAAAATAAACAAACATCCTGTCTAAAAACTTTCTGGTCATATGTTATCATTTGATTTTTTTGACAGCGTGGATTAGAACGTGATTTACCATCAGAATCAAGTCCATTTCGAAGTAGTAGTATAACATCAATAGGTTCTAATGAATCAAATAGTATTGGTAATATTAATGAAATGTATATATATATATTTTTTTAATCTAAATATCATATAATATTTTAGATGCATTTCAACAAAAAATGGCTAAATCAACAGGTATTGTAATTGGTACTGATCTTAATTATGTACAATTTAATGCACAAGGAGCAAGTACTCCAGCAGATGATACAATATCTGTAAATAGTAAAAAAGAAGGAAATGATTTTAATATGCCAATTGATGGAAATGAACAAGGTATATATATATATACATTAAATTTAAATATAAGAAACTTTTCATTATTCAACATTCATAATATACCCTTTTATAAAAGATCAG